TAAAAGTTTAAACACCTTGGCCCTCCCTGGTGGCGCAGCGGGTTAAAGCACTGCACTAAGAAGCTTAAGCCACTTCCGCATGAGTTCGATCCCCGCCTGCCCCCGAGATGACCACATGGTGTGGCAGACCTCTCCTGACCCGCCCACTACTCCCCTCAGCAGTGTACTTCCTCCATCTGCCTGTTCTGCTCCCCACTCTGTCTCTGGTGAATCCTCTCACCCTCCGCATCTCTGGCCTGTACCCCAGTTCTTTAAAAAAAAAAAGGCGGAATCTTCTGAAGTCTACTTGCCAGGTTAACTTGAGCCAGGTCAAAATGACTTCCAAGGCTAGGCCCTTTGTCCATTGGCCTACCGAGTATATGCCCAAGATCTCCATCAGACAGTAATAGGTGAGGACGAGAGAGGAACCCGGGAAGACACTGGTCCTGCCCTAACTGTGAACCTCTTCCAGCCTGGGGGGCCTGGCTCCATGGAGCGTTTCCTCACCATCAGCCCAGGATAAACAAAATGGGACCGTGACACTCTTCTCTCCTCTCTCCCCAGTCTCATCAGCAGGGTCCCCTGACAACCCTGAGCTCTGACAACCCTTGAAAAACACCCCACTATCTTCTTGGCCTATGTTGACCTGCCAGAACCAGGCCAGGTGGGGTCACACCTAAACTAGAAGTATAATTGCCAACATCCAGAGATTCTAGGATCTCAAGTTCCTAATTATCAACTCCAGAAAGAAGGTGGCTCTGCCGAGCCAGTACACAGACTGGCTATCTGCTCCTGGACTGGGGTGCTGCTTAGCCGGCCGCGCATGGGGACTCTTCCAAAGGGAAGCTGAAGAACCCCTCCTGGGCCCAGGGAAGCTGCTAGTCTACATTGTAAAGGAATTTCTGACAGTCTCCTTTTGCTCTCAAATATACTTAATCAACATGAGAGGACTGGGAGGGCTGGGGCTCTTACAGGTAGAACTAACGGAGAAGAATAATGTTCATAAATCATTTAGAATGCAATCCAAACAGGGGTGCAGTTTTTTTCTTAAAGAAAAAGGCAATGTCGAATAGAGCCAGGTAGGAAACCGAACACGCAGTGACTTGTCGCCATACATAGAGTGTCCTCAAGTGAGGCAAGCGGCCTGTTTATGTCATTTTTATCTGTAATCTGACCCTCAATACTGATTTTTCAATTTAGGTCCCTCCCCCACCCGGAAGAGCTCAAACAGGCAAAGGGGTTAATGCGATGAAAAGACAGCTGATAAGAACAGCTGCACCCCCACCTTCCCCTACAGCCCAAGTGGGGGACTGACTGTCTCTGCTGGGCAGCTGGCTCCATCCTGGGGCAGCTGCCTGAGCTGGGAGCTCTAGGAGGAGGGAAGGACAGGCCCACAGACCCAGGCTGCATTCCTACAGCTCAAATGTCTCAACCTCCTCAAGGCGCCTCCCCAGGGCCTCCCCACCTCTGCACTTATCCACACACACACTACTTTGCATTGTATTAGATAGATGTTTATTATATGTTGATCCTACCAGGATGTAAGTTTCATAAGGAGAAAAGAATGTTGATGGCCGAATCTCCAGCACCTAAAATAGTGCCTGGCATATAGTTGGTACTCAATAACTAACTGCTGAGTGGGTGGATGGATGGATGTACGAATGGAAAATAGGTAAAATCGTTTCCTTCCCTGTCATCCACAAATTAACCCTTGTTCTGTTCCAAAGTAGGAAGATGGCAATCAAGAGCTGGAGGTCTTGTTGCTGATTTCAGATTTTGACTGTCATTTTGAACTAGAATACATTATTCCTACCTCACCTTCTCCATCTGCAGAATGACTATTGCTTGATGGAAGGAAGGAGGTGAGGAATTAGGGAAAACTAAAATTTCTTGACTGTCCCCTACAAGTGCCCCAGGGCCAAGGAAGCTCATTTAATCCTCACAACCTATGAGACTGATACTATTAAAACCTGTCTTATAGATAAGGAAAGTGAGGTTCAGAAATATCAAGGAAATCACCCCCACTTGCATATCTAGGAAATGACAGCAGGTATTTGACCCGGGGCTGCTGATCCCAGAGGTGTTTCTACATAGCACAGTGTAACCACACTGCAGAACTGATTCTGTCACTGCTCAGTGCATCCTCCCAGGGGAAACCCAAGCTGTGCTCCTTGGAATCTGCATTTTCTAGCAGTAGAAGTAGGACAGTTAGATGACAAACTTGTCCCTAAGACTTTCTGGGTTTCCACAGTGAAGTGTCCCAGGAAGTCCTCAGGCAAATCAGAACAGGTGTCACTGGTGCCTTATGGAGACAGTCACAACCAGATTCTGAAACGTCTAAGCCAGAAAAAAAGTTTCTGCCAAAGAAGGCAGTGACGGGGGTCACGCTGCCTCGGCCACATTGCTGTACACCCCTCTCCATGCCTGCATCTGACTCAGACTCACGGGCTGGACCCCACAGCGCGGAGGGAATGACAGGAACCTCCCGGGGTCATAGGCACCGCTGCCCTGAATGCAGACTTTGGCTTCAGAACAAGAACAGCGTGGGCTTCCTCCCTGAAGAACCGTAACCACAGGACGAGATGACCTCCTGAAAGCAAGGAGCACAGATTCTTGGAATTCCAGCCATCAAGGCTGGACAGGAAGAGCAGAATTCAAGACTGCCAATGAGTGACCAAGAAACACCAGCACACCCATGGATGGACCCTCCCGGATTCCTGGATCAAAGACTTGGATTCAGAGGGAAAGGTCACCTTGTGGGGTCTCTGCTCTACCAGAAGCCATCTCTATTCTCCGGCTAGGCGCTGGCACAAAATTTGCTGCTTATCTTCATTTTCCTGCCAACAGAGGGAAGACCTGCCAGGGGCCCACCCCGTCTCCTGCACCATCTTTTTCACCTGCAGCCATGCCAGCCCTCACTCTGTACCACCTCACTCTGAGTAAGGAGATCTATTCCTCCCCTGGGGACAGAACTGGAATAAGAGCAGTGAGTGCTCAGACAATCACTGAGACCAAGCAGACCTGAGTGGTGGGGGTGAAGAAAGACACAGGGCAGGGTGTGGGGTTGCATAGGATATCTTACACTTCCTTCTTCAAGATTTCTGTTTTCAGGGACTTAAGAGAGGAGCCCTTTGGCCCATTTGTTCACATGCTCATTTGCAACAACAAAGGCTCTGATGTGTATCTTTTAGCCCAGAGCTCTGGGGCCACCATCCCCTGTGCCCCCTCCAGGCCAGCCCCATCGTGCTGAGCATGCAGGCGTGTTGCTCCAGAAATGCCTTCAACTCTTCACTGGGGCATCCAGAGCTCTCTGGTGCTGTGCTCTGAGTTTTCCTAACGCCCCTTCTTTCTCTCTTGTTCAACTTGCTGTATCTCTTCCTCCCGCCTCCTCTTCCCCAAGGCTGACCCTCCAGGCCGCGGGACCCATGAGTGGTGACCCAGTGCTATTCATGTGCCTTCAGTCTCTCCCCCAGCTAGACTGCTCCCCTGACCTACAAATGTGTAACATGTCCCCACATCCACAGATACGACTGTGCAGTGGCCCCAAAGCAGGGCACCAGCGGAGTGACCTTCAGTGAGAGGTAGTCAGCCCCTGCCTGACTCCCTTAAACATGAGGATTAGGTGAGATAATGGACCCAATCGTTGGTGTAAACAATAGTAATTTTTTTTTAATTCTTAAGTTTTTTTCTTCATCCTCTAGCATTTAAACCCTTCCATCTCTCCTTTCATCATCAAACTTGAAAAAGAACAATTTGTGCTGACAGTTCACAATTTCCATTTTTTCCTGAGCCCCTGAACCCTGGCTGCTCACCCCGCCACTGCAGAGACTCCACTCTCAAGGGGCTGCCTGTCCCCATCCACCCCTGCAATGTCCTCTCTGCGTCACAGCTCTCCTCAACTGGGCGGTGCTCAGCCCCTCTCCTTCCCTCAAAGCTCTTCTTGTTACTATTTCTGTTAATGGTAGCACTTCTCATCCAACCATCCAGCCTGTCCGCATCTTTGTGGCTTTCTCCTGCATCACCACCCAAACTGCCTCCTCCAACTTTCACTTCATTCTCCCCACTCACCTGGATTCAACACCTTCCCACATCGGCACATTTCAAACCCTAACTGGTCAACTGGAATATTCACTTGCTCCTTCCCCACCCCCAACATGCTTATTAATTCATTCATTACCATAGTGAAGAGTTACAATTACAGTGATCTCCTCATTCACTCCTCTCTGCTCTGACCTATATGTCAGCAAAATCTTTCTATAAGGCAAGTTCTGTTTGATATTCCTTATGTCAAAAGTCTGCTATGGGTTTATAGAATCAAGTGCCAATTCCTCGATCTGGCAGGCAAAGCCTTCATGATTTGACTCCAATCTAACTTTTCAGCTGTTGCTTGTGATCCACTTTGTGCTGACTCTACATTGTATGTAAATGAGAGTGTATTTCTTATATCCTGACTATGGTCCATACTAACCTACCCCAGGACCTTTGCACTCTCGTCAATTAGAATGTTTTTCTTCCACTAGTGCCTATTAAAAACTTACTTTTCCTTCAGACCCAGCTCAAAAGCTACCTCATCCATGAAATATTCCTTGGCAACCCCAGGGAGAAGTAATGTTTCCATATCCAACTCACAGTATGTCATCTATGATATTTATCATCTTTTCATTACAGCTGTGAATATCCAGTCCTAGCTCCTCTATTAAACTTGCTCATTACTGAATTACATTTAGCATACTTGTAACTCCATAGTAATTGTGCAATAAATATGCCATGAATAAAACATTGAATGACTATGTCTCTCCAGTCATTTCCAACATGCATGGCATGTGTTAAGATTTGCTCACTGATTATTGACAACCAGCCGATCTCCTCCCCCAAGAGAGCTTTGGCAAAGCCAGGCCGAAAGCCAGTCATATTCGCACACATGTGCCCCCACTACTTACTCAGCACCTATTCATTCCCACTCTCTCTTATCTCTTCCATCTTGACCTGACAGTGAAACCCTGCACTGACGACTTTCTTACCAACAAAATCACCAAAACTCTTCTTTTTTCCTTGCTGGATCTGTGTTGTGTCATCTGACTCTGGTCTCATTCTCCACCGCACAGCTTCGTACTTCCTTGGTTCAGCAATGCCATCCTTTCTAGGCTCTCCTCCTCGTCCCCCTCCCCTTGATAGCACTGTGGATTTCCTCTCGCCATGCCTTACAAGCTGTGCTCCTGATCCTGTTTGTCTTCCTCTGCTCACTTTCCCTGGTGATCTCATTCACTTGCGTGCTTTGGGCCACCATCCACAAGCTAGTGAATCCCACATATCAATCTCCAGTCTTGTCCTCTCGTATATATGTTCAATTTCCTGATAGACATCTACAAATAAATGTACCATAGATATTGAACTTAATAAGTTTTTAAAAATGGGGCTGGGGAAGGTGGGAATAGAGGGAGAAAAGAATGAGAGAGGCCCCCCCCCCAAGAAGAGTTATTCCTCCCCCTGGGCTTCCCAACATGGTACCTAGTTGAAAACTTGAATGCCTCCTTGGAAAGTACCCTTTGGAAGAACCCCCCAAAGTTCTTTGATCTGGCCTCTCCCCTTGATCCACAGCACCACTGCCTAGTCTAGCCCTCATCGTTGCTTGCCCAGAATACTGCCGATTTCCAACTGGTCTTATCCACGGTAATCCAGCCATGTCCATACCCCCAACATGATCTTTCTAAACTACAAATCTTTCCAAAGCACTTGCCAGCCTAAAATCCTATAATACTAACAATAGCTGCAATTTATTGAGCACTTTCTTTGTTCCAGCTCTTAGCACTTTGTGCTGATTAACTCACTCAGTTCTCACAACAGCTCAATGGGATAAGTACTATTTTTACAGATTTGGAAATCGAGGCACCAAGAAAGATTAAGTCATTCTCCCAAGGTCTCACAGGTAGCAAGTGGAAGAATAGGGCATCTGGCTCCAGAGCCTGCTGACTAGCCCCTGCTTTGCTGAGGAGCCTCCACTGGTTATATGGAAACTCTTAGATGCCAGGCAAGGCTTTCCACAATCTGACCATGCCACTCCAGCTGCTGCTGTCCTGGAACACGCATTATGCTCCAGAAATCCTGAACTGCTCCTTTTGTACACATGCGCACACACACAGGTTGCTTCACATGTGCGTGCCTTTGTACAGGATGATCTTTGCTTGCCACTCACTGCCCCACATTTAGCCATATTACTACCCAAATCAGCTCAGATGTCGTAAGAAATGACTCCCTCCAACCGCCCCATTAGCCTGGACTGTCTCTCCACAGAGCTCCCAGTCACCTGCCCTGAAGTTTCCTTCCATGTTCCCCTCCTGATTGCAGGCACTCTATCTCAACAGAAGAGTGGTGTCTCTGCACCTATGTGGTATAGTACCTGGAACACGGGGGTGCCCCATAAATATCTTCCAAACTAAACTGAACCTCATCTTCCTCAGTTCAGGCCACACCATCCAAAGTCCCTAGCCCCATCATTTCAGATTATGCCAGAACACAGCTATCTCTTTCTATCTCTTTCTTCCCAGAAATCCCTTAGCACACAGAATCTGTGCCACTCAGTAATTAATTAATCCTGTTCCTTCCTGTGACCTCTCCTGCATTGTAATCTTCATTATTATTTAACTCTGCTTTGTTACTTTTCTTTTCACCAGCCGCCTCCCCAATTAGAGGAAAAACTCTTTGAAGATGGAAGTTAGTGACTAGGTTTTACCTGCATTTTTGTTTTCCTATAAATGCCTTGAACAGTCTTAAGTGGTCAATAAATACCTGGTGATTTAATTTAATGTCATCTTGGGAAGCTGAGATTGGGCTGAGGTGCCTGCATTGGGAAGGGACAACATGAAATAGGGGCTACTTCTGGGGTCAAAATATTTGGGGCTCAAAGGATCTTAACAGAGTCTCTGTTCATCCTTCCCTTTGCACCCCTCACTGCCCCCCCCGTCCCTGTCCCAGCAAAAGACTCACCTACTGGCTTTGAAATAAATTTGTATTTTATGTAATAAAAAATTGAATTAAATTTCTGGATTCAGATCAGAAGCCACAAAGTCTATATAAAGCCCAAAATATGAAAATATTTTCACCACCAGTCAAAAAGCCACCAGCCTGGCCTGCCGGACATGGAAGCCCAACTGTCCTGATTGTCCTCAGTGGTCTACAGGGCAGCTGGTGCTCCTATGGGACAGGTGGTAGAATGAGAGCACCCCAGGCCCTGGGGTTCATGTGAATCTTTCACAAGAGCTCACTCCCCACCCCAGTCCTCTCTGGAAGTGACCTCATGCCCAACAATAGGTTTTTATAAAAAATTAAATACTCAGCCCTATTACGAACCAAACAAAAATAAAAGGCCAAGAACCCAGGCAGCGAAGAGTATCCACGAAAACATTCACTGAGTATCCTCCAACTCACACCTTTCAAGGAGCAACACCTACGGACCACATCATGGGGCTGACAGAGCACAGACCCTGCGCAGGTGCTCTACTGAGCTCTGGGAATAGGCAGCACACAGGACAAGCCCCATCCGCTAGCAGTTAACAACTGCTGATGTAAGGCATGCGCAGGACATCAAGCAAGGTCAGACGTGGTCCCCATGCTCCAAGAGCTTGAGCCCAGTCTTTGAGATGGGTTCTTTATGTGCAAAGCGTGTGGTTCTCTCCTGGATACCATCACCCTACAGTAGCATCCACCATTGCACCAGGTAGCCCATGTGAGCACAGGCAGAGGCCCCGGAGAAGAGGTTGGTGATCTAACAGGGTGAAGGCCCAAGAAAAGATAGGTGAGTGCCTTAAAGGCACATAAACTTGGAAGGTAGGTCTGGAATTAGGGTGGTCAACCATCCCAGGAGATTTCATTGATAAAATCGGGAAATTTGGGGATCCCTGAAGGTGCAGGGGTTACAGTCTCAGCACTATCAAGATATCACCAGCCACTGTGGCATGAGTTTGATACCCAACCAGGTTGCTGATCCACATGGTGCAGCAGACCTCTCCTGTCTCCCCCACTGCACCCCTCAGCAGTGTATTTCACTAGATCCACCTGTTATGTCCCCCACCCTGTCTCTGGTGAATCCTCTCCTCCTTCCTGATCCCTGCATCTCTGGCCTACACCCCAGCTCTTGTATGCATAACTAGATAAAAATTTTTCAAATCTTAAAAAAATAAGGAAGTCCCCAGGCAAACTGGGATGTGTCCGTCACCCTCTGTTGAAATGAAGTAGTAGTTGGAGCCACAGGCCAGCACCTTTGCACAACAGCACTGATTAATCCACTAGCCCCTTGGGGCTCACAGTGGGACCCACAGACCAGCTGCGTCAACAGCAACTAAGGTCCTATAAACACATAGAGTCAGCCCTGCCCAAACCAACTGATTTAGAATCTGTGTTTTAACAAGATACCCAAGTGACTCATGTACATGAACACTGAGAAACATGGTTTAGTGGTCCTTTAGTAATCCAACTTCCTGGGGACCAAAGCCAGAACCCCACTAAGTCTGCCTACCATCAAGACATTTTCCAAACTTCCTCTTCTTAGAAGAGCAAGTGTTTACTCCTCCCCCTGCTCTTGACCACTGGGATTCTTTTCCGTTTCTTAGTCTCTATGAGTCAAATAACTGAAAATGAGATTTACTCCACGGGCTCCTTCCCTCTCTCCCTGCCAATCCCCATCCATGATCACTAGTAAAAGGCAGTCCCAGAAGCCCCCAAAAAGGAGCAGCCTGGAGTTTATCTTCCCGAACTGACAACCTAGTCCTCTTCCCAGAAGGACCCAAAATGGGTAGTTCTTCGCTTCCTCAAAAGGGGACATTGAGGCTCTGGCATGGAGCAAGGAAAAAAATGGCTGACACAAGTTTACCCCCAAGATGGCACAGACATGGAGTCTTGAACTGCAGTTGTGGCTTCAGGGGTGTACACACACTTGTCAGCCTCACAGTAAGTTGCAGACTGAGTCACACATGACTCCAGGCAACTTACTTGGTCAGATAAACAGCACCCCACCCACGCCTCAATCTAGCTTGACTGTGCCCTCAAAATCCCAAAGAGAAAGTGTCTGGAAAGCCTCATTCAGTGTTTGTGAGGAGGAGGATTTCCTCAGTGAGGGAGAAATGAAGCCCTGCCATCTTGTCCCTGTAGAACATTTGACAAGCTCTGTCTTTCTGGCCTCTGAGGCGCTAAGGAAGCCAGGAGGTGTGTGGACAGAGGCAGGGCTGTGCCACAAGCCAGGGCTGCCACCGGAAGGGGTCCTGATGGGGCATGTGAACAACTCAGAGGCCAGACTCGGGGCCCAAGCTCTAGCTTTGAGGCAGATCTGGGAATTTTCTGGGTGCTGTGTGCAGAAAGCCTAGGGTCATGGTTACGGGATACCAGAGTGTGCCGGCTAAGACCTGAGATGAAGAGCACATGAGGAAAAACTTACCACAGTGAAATTCCATTACAAGGGCCATATATTTAGGGACTGCAAACATTTTACCTCATAATGAAAGGTTTTTAGAACTCTAAAAACACCTGGCAGCTGCTGGTGGGGGTGGGGGGCAGGAGAGGTGGAGAGAACAGTGAATTTGTCCATCTCGAGAAAGAAAGGAAAGTGAATTTGTGTAAATGGTATCATCATAAGCAGCCCCAGAAAACCACCAATTCCAGAAAGATGGAAGTGGGCTGAGGGTATCTGTCCAAGAGGACCTGCTCCCCTCCACACACCCCCCCGCTGCAGAGCCCCCGTGGTGCTGTTTCATTTTCCTTTCCTCCTGTACTGCAGAAGGCTCAAGCTGAAGAGGAGGCTTGGAAGGTACCAGGAGAGGCCAATGTCGGTGGCTTGGGGAGTGTGTGTCCAGACCCTCCCTGTAGAGTTGGGGGGACTCCAGGGGTGAGGGGAAGGTAAGCAGGGAGCATCAAATTCCCCCACGGTACGGGACACCTGGTGAGTTCCCAGCCTCCCTGACATGTGCTGGTGTGGACACCGCATCCATGGAGGGTGTAGGAATTTGCAGGGTTTGTAGGGAAGGTGAGGAGGGGAGAACCCAGCCCAGAGCCTAGAGACCACTCCTCACTGCTCTCATTCTCATCAACATTTAACATTTCCCCTGGACCCAGAGCCATCAGGCCTAATGCCCCCTGAGGGAGTGGGGGCGGGGACTAGTGGTGTCACAGCTGCAGCCTGCAGGCCCCCCACCCCCACCCCTAGCATGTCTGGGGTGACATGGGGGGCTCTCTCGGGGATGCCATTCAGGGCCTGTCTTTTGGGGGAAAAAAACCAAAGAAAAACATGTATTTATAACATGAACTTCCCTCCTCTCCTTTCCCTCAGCTAACTGATTAATTAAATGAATACAAAGGCCGTCTTGT